ATCATAATTGGCATCCCTCGTCTATTGTGAAAGATTCTAAGAAGAATTTCTTCAATATGCCATCGCTGCTTATTTGTTACATACATGCATATATTCTTACGGCTTCTGGATAAGATTCTACGAACTTTTGCAAAGCTACTCGCCACCTATGTGTCTCATTCATATTGCTATTATTATGAAAAGAAATGAAGTCGACATTCTTTCCAATTATTTTTCGACGACATTCCTTTCAACCCAACAAACACTCAATATCTGTTGTCATGTGAATTTTTTTCTTTCTCTAACAACAATAAACTTCTTTATTTTATACGGCTGTCATAAAACTTCTGAAATTCTATTGCTTCTTCCTACACAAATCGCTTGCATTCCAAAAGTTTCAATCTAAGATTCTGTTTCCTCTATTTTTTACTGTTTACGATGTGTCCTATCGCACACAAAGTACACAGTGAAATAGCATTTTACTGCAGTGACTGCCTATTGAACTCGTTGATATGTTATCAAACTGCAATGTCTGCTCATGTGAATTCGCAACAATCTATGCAATTTCATGCATATTGCTTTAAGTACAATTATTCAATTCAATCTCCTGCTAAACTCTCCGTAGAATCAAACAATGACATGATTGGAAAGAAAGTTTTGGAATAATATCGCTACCAAATACTCACCATTAATTTATCGAGTCCACCTTCGACTAACAATTTCAATTTTTGCTCAACAACTGCCGGATCTCGCATACGCACTTTTGGATTACTTCTCAGAGCGTCCATGATTCGCTCCCTCCGCGAAATTTTCAGCGCAGCCACCTGAAACCCCGTCCAAATAAACTGACTACTCATCGGTATTATGGTAACAACAAAGAATCTGTTCAATAAATGAAAATAACTTCAAAAGTTTACAATTGATCATTTTTCAGCGAATCGTAAATCAACCATTCAAAACATTTGAAAGCATCGCCGAATAAATGCAACAATGAAAACAAAGTGGGAAAATAGAATTGATGAAAACAATCACATGTTGAACGAAAAGTAGATGAATTGTGAGCTATGAATGAATAGAAAAATATAAAAAATGACTCGGAACGAAAATATCGATGCGAAAAATCGACCAATCCGAACAAAGATTATGAAGCAAAGAGCTAATTTTTGCTTGCAACACAAAAAAATCGCACACCTGATTGTGAAAATCGTATAAGTGAACTGAAGATTGCGGTGTATTCGTGGAGTCAAAATCGTCGCTGATTGGCGTTGAATGATAACCGGATATGATGCGTGTATTGAATAATTCAACAACCGGTTGAATACTTAGTAAACGAGCTGAAAAATAGTTCGTGTGAATAATTTTGACGAAATTAAACGTGAATTTGGATGCAAAATGCTGAAATATGATCGAAATTCGTTGATTATTAATGGCACATCCACATGAAATCTGATCAAATTAATGAACATGGGTGTATGCTTAAACTGCTTAAATTCTAGACACAACCGCTTAGCCTAATCCAACAAAAAAACATTAATTGTAAGCTGATTTAAGTGTAGATGTACAAGTCGAGACCCGAAACTGATAACAACTATTCAAATCATTGCATTACTAGTGCAATCTGAGGATAGACACTGACATCAAACGTCTAGGCTATTTTTTGAGATTTTATTATCTCGTCTGGCAGCACTTGAAATTATCTCATTCACTGTTCGAAGCAAACCATTCAGCCAGACATTCTTCTGTATGACAGCAATATTTCTATGATTTATAGCAATGAAGAGAGCGAAATCCGTCTCGCATCGATGAATCAAATTTTTGCATTCAACAAAAAACTAGAAAAATCGTCAAAAAATTCCTCTAGTGAAGAATTTACCCAATGAACTCAGCTGACGGGAGTGCTTGCAAGAAATACGAAATCTTTTCAGAAACAACGAACAGAACAACTGCTCAACAGCAAGCGACATGAATTCATAAATGCACTCAGAATAACTAAACATCACAAAATTACTAACTAACCGTGCAACAGTAAAAAAATTATATAAACTGATCGTAAAAGAATTTCAATTTTCAATTTACACTTTTCAATTCTCAATTTCATATTTGGACAGCAGTTTTTTGGCAATGTTTTGCAAAATTATTACTGTTCTTTCAAGAGTTATTATGATTACTCAGTTGATTCAAATTATTCTCATTATTATTATATTATTACAATTATTATAATTTTTATGATAATTATTATAATTATTATTATAACTATTATAATCATAACACTAATAATAATTATTATTATTACTATTAGAATTATTATAATAATTATAATTATATTTATTATAATTATCATAATTACTACAATAACAATAACTATTATAATTATTACTATTATTTATTATTAATATTAATTAGTATTGCTATTATTAATATTATTTATTGTTATTTATTATTAGTATTTATAATTTATTATTAGTAATTATTATTTATTATAATTCTTCATTAATATTGATTATTATTATTTATTATTATTACAATTTCTTATTACTATTCATTATTATTTATTATTTATTAAATTTATTATTTATATTATTCATAATATATACTATTTATTATATATATAATTTATATCATTTATAAATAATGTTAGATTACTCATATTATTTATTATCCATTTTAATTATTATTCGCATTATTTATTATTCACATTATTTATTATTCATATTATTTATTATTTATATTGTTTATTATTTATATTATTTAGCATAAAAATTATGTATTTTTTATATTATGTACTATTTATATTATTCATTATTTACATTATTGATTATTTATATTATCTATTATTTATATTACCTATCATTTATATTATCCATTATTTGTTGTATCTATTATTTATATTATCTATTATTAATATGATAAATTATTTATATTATTTATCATTCATATTATTTATTATTCATATCATTTATCATTAATATTATTTATTATTTATATTATTTACTATTTATACTATTTGTTACTTATGCTAGCTATTATTTATATTATCTATTATTAATATTATTTATTATATATATTATTTGTTATTTACGTTA